TGGCGAAAGGGACGGCAAAATGATTATGCTTGCTGAATCGATCTAACGTGGATAGCTCCATTTACTGTATGGGCAGTGCACTAGCTAGGAGGAGGAGGAGGAGGAGGAGGAGGAGGAGGAGGAGGAGGAGGAGGAGGGGGTAGAGGAGGAGGTGGTTGTGGAGGAGGATTAGGAGGAAGACGAATCAGACAAATATGGGTGTCAATACGAAGACGAATGAACATACTCATAATGATAATGCTACGAATAAATAGTAATACTGATAAGGTTATGAATGATACCACTAATCCATATAATGCGACTACTAACAGTAACAATCATAGTCGTACGGCACATATTATATTAATACAAAACTACGAATAATATTTCGATCACTAGTAACACTAATAATCTCAATGATAAGGATAATAATAATACTACGAAGAAGAACAATAAGAGGATGAGGAGGACGAGGAGGAGGACGATGAGGAAGAGGAGGAGGAGGAGGGGAAGGAGGATGAGTAGCAGGAGGAGGAGGAGGGAGGAGGGAGGGACAGAGGTAGGGCAGGGATGACGGAGGGAGGGAGGGAGGGAATGAGGGGGGTTGGGAGGGAGAGTGAGAGAGAGGAGGAGGAGCAGAAGGAGGAGGAGGAGGAGGAGGAGGAGGAGGAGGAGGAGGAGGTGGAGGTGGAGGAAGAGGAGAAACAAGAGGAGGAGCAGGAGGAGGAAGAGGAGGAGTAGTAGGAGGAGGAGGAGGAGGAGGTTCAGGTACCAGGGGAGGAGAAGGATGATGATGACAATTAGGATGAGGATGACAATGAGGAGGAGGATGAGGAGGAGGAGGTGGAGGAGGAGGAGTAGCACGAGGAGGAGGAGCTGAAGGACGAGGATCAGGAGGAGGAGGAGGAGGTGGAGCAGGAGGAGCAGCAAGATGATGATGAGGAGCAGCAGGGAAAGGTGGAGGAGGCAGACGGAGGAGACAGGGAGAAGGAAGGTGAGGGCTGGGTGGGGGTGGGGTGGGTGAGGATCGCCACCGCTCCTCCTTGTCGAAGCCGCGCGGTGCGCCCAGGATCTCGCTGCGTCTCGGCTGGTGTGCCGGGCGCGAAGCTCCACTGGCCGCCTGTGTTCCCTACCGCAGGGGCACGCGGAGGATCCCCCTGGCCGGGGGGGGGGGGCAGGGGGGAGGGGGATGAGGAGGCTTAGCAGGCACTGCTGTGTCGTCGTCGTGATTGTGCCAGCAGTGAAGCATATGGCGTGGCATGGTCAGCAGTGCACCATGTTGCGTGTGCTGTCTTCTCCTTACAGCAGTGAAGAAGAGGGGTTAGGCAAGATGGGTCAAGGTTTCGAGGGGTGAGGGGGGAGGCAAAGGGACGGAGGAAGCGAAGGAGGGAGTGCTAGCAGGAGTCAATTAGGTCAATATGAGAGGTGGTCCTAATTGGGAGGTGGAACCGCGACTCGCTTAAGTGTCTTGTTGAGACACTAGGCGATGCACTGGGTGGTGCACTAGCTGGCGCTGGCTGGGTTAAGGTGAGAGGGTGGCCCTAATGGGGTCCCCGCCTCACCAAGTTGTCGCCTTTCTGATTGAGTGACGGTGCAGTATGTGGTGCTCTGGCCAAAGCTAGCTGGGACGAGGTGAGAGGTGGCTCTAATTGGGAAGGGAGATCGCGATTCGCCAACATGTCTCCCTTGGCACACAGTGGTGGCGCAGTGGGTGGTGCGCTTGCCCTTGCTAGGCGGGTCAAGGTGGAAGGGGGCTTTAGCTTGGATGGTGGATCGCGGTTTACCGAAGTCTCTCGTTTTAGACAGAGGCGGTGCAGCGGGTGGCCTGCTGAAGGAAGCCCTAGCAGGAGGGGCAACATGCGACTCACCAGAGCGTTTCTTTTTGAGATGCAGTTCAGCGGGGAGGATCGACCGCTACTCACCTAAGTGACTCCTTTGGAGCACATGGGCGGCGCATTAGGTGTTGCGCTAGCCAGGAGCTCGTTGGGTCATAGCGGGAGGTGGCCCCCAAGCGCAGAGGGGGGGGACCGTGACTCACGAACATGCTTCTTTTTAGACACAGTGGGCAGCGCAGTGGGCGGAAAGGCAGGTGGCTCTAGCGGGGAAGAGAAGCCGCGACTCGCCGAGGTGTCCCCTGAAGGAGACAGCGATGGTGCAGTGGGTGGTGCGCCAGCCGAGGTTGGTTGGGTCCGAGGCTACCTGCGGGCCCTCACAAAGCTGCTTTCGGATGGTGGCCGAGAGCGGATGCCTGCCTTCCTTTTGGAGGGCCCCGTGATTGGCCTGCTTGTGAGGGCGTCAGCAGGTCCCCGACCCACTGCTGCATGATATGGGGAGAAGGATGGAGACGGCGGAGGAGGCTGGGACCTGGCGCGGTGGCCGGGGAGCCGCCCCGGGGCCCAAGAAACGCAGCTGCCAGGAACGCGCCGTGTCGGCCGCGCTCTCAGGCCACGGAGTCTGCTGGCCCGAGATGCCCCCCCCCCGACAGACAGTCAGGTACAGCTAGGACGATTTGCCAGGGATGGAAGCGTGACTGAATCAACGCATGACTAGGGTCCGACCCTCAAGAAGTCGCCGGCGACAACGGCGCCGGCGACGGCGAGGTCCAGTGATCAGAACACGCGGCGGCTAAAGCGTCGGAACCCAGAGGATCAGCACAGAAAAGTTCTAGAAGGAGCCGCCTGGGGAAAGTTATAGAAGAAGCCGCCGGAGGAAATGTTTCAAAGGAGCCGCGTGAGTAAAGATTTAGAAGGAGCGCTGGAGTAAAATTCTACGTGGCGCCTTCCCCACTCCTGTCGCGCCTGCTCCGCCCCCCTGCGTAAGTCGTCCCCGGAGTCCTTCGCTGCTCTTACTTCATATTACACAAGGGTACACCTGTCCGACAGGACCCGTGCCAAACTTGCGATTTTCCCTCCGTTCGGATCCGTCCTAAACCCATCGGATTCGCATAGGGACCCGTCTACCAAACATCGTATCCGCGTACGATCCGTGTCGGATCCGTGCTTGGATCCGACGCCCGAGGCGGCGTTGATCCTGCCAAACAGGGGCCCTCGTCGACGTTTGCGTGGGCCCCTGCACTTGTTTTCGGGTGCCCGGCTTCGCGCCCGTCGCCCGCGACCTGCCGCCGAACCCCCTTTTACCCCGGCTGCCTGGGCCGACGGCTGGTTTGGCTAGACTGACGGTCTGGCACCCCCGTGCCGTGTGAAATTTCGGGTCGAGTTCTCAAATCGCACCAAATTACCCGACTGTCTGTAGGAGCGGCCCTCGTTTGAAACGTGAGGTCCTGGTTTGGGGGCTTACCAGCCACCCATCACAGATGCGCGGCTGACCAGGCATGCGGCCCACTTGCGAGGAAAATGAGGATGACGATGAGGAGGGTGAGGAGGAGTGTAAAGCCCAGACTTAGCGTGGTTGTTGCGTCCAGGCCATTCTAAACGGTGCCACGACACAGTTTTGGGACATCACCACCGCGAATCATCGTGATTGTTGCGTCCTGGCCGTCCCAAATCGCACCAAAACAGTATTCCCGAGGCGTCAAGCCTGCGAATTTTTGAAATTGCGGTATTTGTTTAAGACGAATTTGCGCGGAGCTCAGGCGATAATCGAATGAGGTATTCTCCATGCTTGCAAATGTTGCAAACTCTTCAGACGAATGCGTGCGTCGCTGCGCAAAAAGCCCGCACTTTGAAAACCATCCGCCCTCTATCTTTGAAACTGCTGCAAACTTTTATTGCGAATGTGCGCGGCGACATGGCGAAAATCACATTTTGAAGGCCAGCCGCGTTCAACCCTGAGACAGCTGTAAATTTTAAGCGTTAGGATGATACGTGGGAGGAAGTTCCAATCTGAACGCCTTGCCCGCCCTGCCGACACGTGTAACGGTGCGACACGGATGAGCTTTAGTGCAAGCCTCGCGGCCCGTGCCGCCGACCCTGAGGGCGGGAACTCCCGGGGACATCCGCTGGCGCCCCCCCCCTCCCTGGAGCCGCCTGGACCCCGGAGGGGGCAGCATTGTGACTTGGGACCACCCTCCCCCCACTACAGACGGGACCTCCCCCGGGACCCCCCAGGACACCCCCCCTGCAGGGCCCCCCCCTGTCCTTCCAGTCCAGTATCCCGAGAGGGCAGTAATCAAACTCGGACCCCCCGCCTGCCCCTTCCAGTGCCCTTTCCCGTACCCCCCCTACCCCCCTACCCCCTATCCCCCACATCGCGGAGGGGAAAAGGGAAGAGATTCGACTCATCTACGACATTTGTTTTGTTAGTTTTTTAATTTCTTTGGGATTGACGACGACGACGAAGACGACGACAGCGTCTTACACACGCCGGGAGTCGGCGGATTTATTCGGAGAGGGGATGCAGGTGGAGGAGGAGGAGCAAGAGGAGGAGGAAGAGAGAGAATGAAACAGAGGGGGGAGTAGGGAGGTAGGAGGGGGAGGGGGGTTTTAGCTTGCAGCCCCCAGCCCTTTATGTATCCACCCCGCGTCGATCGGGCAGGCCAGTCTGACGGCTGGGTGAAAATGGGAGTCGCACAGCGAATGGAGGAACCAGGCCCCCGCAAGGTATGGAGTAAACAGGATGGGATGAGGCTGATGGTGGTGGGTGATGATGACGATGGTGATGGTGCTGGTGATGGTGATAGTGTTGGTGATCGTGTGGATGACGGTTGTTGATGGCGATGGTGAAGCCATGTTGATGATGAGGGGCGACGAAATTGAGGACGGTGATGATGATGGTTATGATGACGACGACGGCACTGACGACGATGGTGATGATGCGGGGGGTGGAGGACGACGACGAGGACGAGGGGGATGGATCATGGGGCGGAGGAGGATGAGACGAGGAGGAGGAGGAGGCAGACGTGGACGAGGCGGATGGAGGACGGAGACGAGGAAATGCGTCAACATCTCTGGCCACCCTCGAACAACATGGCTGTGTCTCCCTGCGGTCCGCAGAGCAGAGGCATCGACATGGGGGCATCGACTCGGGCGGGGTGTGCCCTGCTGTTCTCGGGGCATCCCCAGGACCATCGATCAAGCTTCCGCCCTCTACGCGCCCCTCCGCCCGTCGAGCGAGCGTGCTCGATTGACAGCCTGTCTCAATTTTTGTGCCATGTGACATTCGGTGCAGCGTGCAGTCTGTGCCTTCGTAGAGCTGCGCACACACAGTCTCTTGCATGTCGTTGCCAGCAGGGTGCTCCTGGTGCACACCTTTCTGAAGGCCGAGTGGTACTCCTCTCCCTGGGAACTGAGACCGTACAGACAGGAGAAGGGCTCTCCCCTGCCATTCCCCCCCCCCGCTCACCCTTTCTCCTCCCCCTCTCTCTCCTGCAATCCTCCTTCCACTTCTGCCGTCTTCCCCTTCTCCTTGCTTCCCCCTCCTCATCATCCCTCCTTCCTCTCTGCCTTATCCTCCTGCCCCTCCTGCTCCTTCCTCCTCCCTCCTCCGCCTCCTCTTTCTCATCCTCCTCACTCCTCCCTCCTACATCCTGCCTCCTACCTCATATCTCTTTTCTCTCCCCTCCTCCTACTCTTCCTCCTCCTCCTCTTCCTGCCTCCTACCTCCCATCTCCCTCCTCTCCCCTCCTCTTTCTCCCCCTCTCCTCTTCCTCTCCCTCCTCCTCCTCCTCCTCCTCCTCCTCCTCCTCCTCCTGGGCACAGCACCGAGGCGTCTGCCCACCACAGGCAGAGCAGGTGGCGCTCCCCTCTGGTCGGGGCTGCTTTCGCCACGGCCTGCTCGCCATGAGAACTGCACCCTCGCCAAAGGAGCCAGGCTGGGTGCAGCAGAGACAGTTACACGTTAGTCGGAAGAAGTAGGTAAAAACATTAAGTAGGAAGGCGGATTAAGTTGATTGGGTCCAGGCCCCCCAGGGAATAACAAAACACAGCAAAAGCGTGTCGATTCTTGAAGTAGGAAGGCGCTTGAAGTAGATTGGGAACTGGGAATCCAGAAATACCTACTTTCAACGACCAGCGTGTACGCAGACATAGTAGAAAATTAGGATGGGGCATCCTGGGGCTCTCGGAGGATGGCGAAGCCGACGACCGCCTGAACCCGGGATCCCAATCTGAACCCGCCTCTCTTGAGGCGCTCGAGAGTGGGGTGCCTGTCTTTGGAGAGCCTGAGAGGCTTGCACGCACCCGCCAGTGACACCACAGGAGTCGAGGCGAACGAGGCGCAGTGAGTGCAGCAAAAATCACCCGATCAGCACGACTGAAAGTTCCTACCCTGAGATGCTTGGAAAACCGGCGGCTCGCAGCGCGACCCGGCCTGCTGGACCCCCTGGACCAGGGGGTGGGAGGCTCGGGCCTGACGAGAGTGGGTGGAGGAGCCCGAACGCGCAGCTCGCTGCCCGTGCAGCTCGCTGCCCGTGCAGGACGATCAATGGAGAGGAAGCATGCTGCCAAATATTTTGCAGATGACATGTTTTGAGCATGTAAACACATGTTTGAAACATGTTTAGAAACTTGTTCCGACATTTTAAACACATTTTAAATTCAATGATAGGACTGTTAGAGCGTCCATTGTCGTGGCATCCACAACCATAGACTAACCTGCTTTGGTCATCCATCCTGCCGTGAGAGAGACCGGACAGTTCTTGGTGCGAAGAGGCTTCAGCACACGAGGGATCGTTCGTCCTCAGCTCGGCTCCGAGCTGACTGGTCAGCTGCACCGTGTCCCTTTTCGTGCCTCCTCGTGTGCCTTTCCTCCTCCACCGCTATCTCCGTGACATGGGCCTTGACCTTCTTGAGCTCTGGGCCCCCCCCCCAGTCTTCAAGCTCATCCCAGACCTGCCTCCAGAGACACGCCCAAGCCGACGACGGCGCAGTGGTCTTTGTGGGGCCTGTTGGTTTGGGACAACACTTGCTGTTGGGCATTGTACCCATTTTTTCCGCAGTACCCATTCCCAGACCCCCGACGTCATGATTTTTTCATGACGTCGACCCCCCGAGGTCTCGACCCATTCCCCGGGACCGGTTTTTCGTCCTGAGTCGTTTTTTGACGGTCCCGAGGGCCGGTAAGGCCCCCAGAGGCCAAAAATAGAGACAAACCTCCCGTCGTGATTTTTTCATAACTCGAGGGGGTCTGGGTTTCGGGCGTCCAAATTCTTGCCTTCCTCGCCCGGCCGGCCTGGCCGCCCGGCGCCGGCCTCTCCGCGGGTGGCCCCGCCGGGCCTGCAGGGGCCGGCGAGCTCCGGCAGCGCCGCGGGCGGAAGAACGACCCTATCTTTATGTCGTGCGTGTCCCCCTACAGGGGATTTTCGACGAAAAGTGAAAAATACCCCCAAAGTGCTCCCAAAAAGGTCAAAACATATTCAAAAAATAGTCCCCGGAGTATTTTTGGAGCATTTTGGGATTATTTTTGGGGTACCTTCTATTTTTCGTCGAAAAATCCCCCTGTAGGGGGACAGGCCCGACTTAACCTTCCTCGATTGAAAAACAGGGCCGTTCTCCCGGCAGCGGCACGGGGATCAAAACCAGCACAAAAAAAGAAAACACCACGGACGCGCGCACGCTGGGCCCCGGCACCCGCTCGCGCGCGCGCCCCAGCCGTGGGGAGAGCACCCGAGGCCCCGCGCGCGCCGCAGCCTCGCGGCGCCCCCGCCCCGGCTCACCAGCCACCAAACCACCCCAACCCAACCCGAAGGCCCAAATTTGCCCTCGATCTCCACTGGGGGGGGGGTCGGGGAGCATCGAGAAAACACGTGGAACCCGTACCCCCCCCCCCAACCCGAAGTTCGGGTCCAATTCGGATTTTCGGGTTGGGTTGGGGTGGTCTGGTAGGTAGTCACCGGCCCTCTCTCCAGCGGCTGGCGGGCCCGCTCGGCGGCGGGGCCCCCCGCGGCGCGCGGAGGTCTGCCTCTGCGGCAAGTCGCAGCTGCACTGCGCGGACGTCTTCGAGCTGCCCGGGAGCGCCGAGGCCCCTCCGCCGCGGGCGCCGCGGCGGCCCCTCGCCGCTCCTCGCCCCTCGTGGTCCTCCTCTCCCCTCGTCGTAGCCCTCGTCGTGCCCCTCTCCCAGCTCCTAGGGCGACGAGATCTATGCATATCCACTGCTCCTGGCCAGGCCCATCCTGGGCCCAGGAGCGGTGTAGATGCCCTCCTGGCCTGGCCAGGGAGGCATATACACCGCTCCTGGGCCCAGGATGGGCCTGGCCAGGAGCAGTGGATATGCATAGATCTCGTCGCCCTAGCTCCCCACCCCTCGTCGTGCCCCTCTCCCCAAGTGCGCCGCCCCCAGCGCGCCATCCGGAGGCAGGAATGGCGATGTGGTGCAACCCCTCCCAGTGGGAGGGGTTCTTGATTGGGAGGGGCGCGCAACCCCTCCCACTGGGAGGGGTTGTGTGTTACTCAAAGTCAGCATTCTCTCTCGGCTCTGCCTTTGTTCCGTCGAGTTTCCCATCCGCCTGAGGCGCCCGCCTCCTTCGCACTTCTCCAATTGCATCACCGCTCCGGCTTTTCATCAGGAGAGACCAGAGGTCTTAGTCGATGCCCCCCCCCCCGCCTCCTCCCAGGAGGAGGAGGAGGAGCTCTTCGGCTGACGCCAACTGTACACCTACACCGATCGGGGCCAGGCCGACCCTGGACCCAGGGTTGTTGCACGTGCCTTGTGGCCCAGGCCAGGAGGGCGTGTGCACCGACCCTGGGCCCAGGGTTCTAGGCCTCCCAGATGGGGCCCGAGCAGATGGGGCCGGAGGCCCGCGCCGCGTCGCCGGTGCATCGCCGATGCAGCTCGATGCGGAGCCGATTTCCTCCACGCTGGCGGCGCCGATGCACCGCCGATGTCGCCAGTGCATCGCCGGTGCATCGCAGATGCATCGCCGATGCATCGCCGATGCATCAGCGATGCGGCGCGATCCTCCGACCCCATCCACTCCGACCCCATCAACTCCGACCCCATCCACTCCGACCCCATCTAGGAGGCCCCTAGAGGGTGGTCGTGGCCAGCATCGATGTAAGGTGTGCAGCTGGCGCCTTCCTGCCCACGCTGGTTGGTGGCGTACCCTGACTCTGGAGTGGTCCCACACAGTAAGCTGGCGACTCGACATCTGTATACATCTGCGGTGCCCGCGTGCAAGCGCATCAAGCGGCGGCGTTGGAGAACAGATATCAGTAGCAGCTCCAGCGGTGCCGAGTGAGAAACGCGGTGCCTCCGCGCCCCCGCTGTCAAAGCCCCCCAAAGCGATAATCGACGGAAAACCCGCAACGGCCCAAGCGCCGCAGAGGCTGGCACCCACGGGGCCCGTCCAGCAACCACGCAGACAGAGGACTTTTACGATGTTTCCACTCGTCACCGAGTCGTTGCCTCAGTCCACAGTGGTGCCTTCCTGCCCCTTAGAGGAGAAGTCGGAGAAGTAGTAGTAGTAGTAGTAGTAGTAGCAGTAGTAGTAGTAGTAGTAGTAGTAGTAGTAGTAGTAGTAGTAGTAGTAGTAGTAGTAGTAGTAGTAGTAGTAGTAGTAGTAGTAGTAGTAGTAGTAGTAGTAGTAGTAGTAGTAGTAGAATTCGAATCATTAATAATAATATTATTATTACGATTTCTGATT